TCAATGGCGGACATACTATATGGATAAATTAAAAGCAGATAAACTTCAGTCTTTATGGATTGAACATGTGTCAACAGAAATACCAGGTTTAACAAGCACACAGCAGCATGAAAACCAACGATGCCAAATGCTGAATTACTGTAGCACTGGTTTTTGAGCATCCCATCAGAAGAATGCTGTTGGATGCAGATACCTTGCAGTGCAGTTAAAAGTGTTTGTAACAGCTTCCACCATCCTGAAGTATCAGCCCATTTTAAAGTTACATTTCTGTAAGTGTTGAATTAGAAGTTAAATGATCTAACAGTAGTAAACTCAGAGCAAAATTCCATTTTGCAAGCTGTGAAGTAACCAGAAGTGTAAGAGGAGTCCTTATTTAATGAAGCTAGTAAAACTCAGTTTCTAGGGGCTGGTGTACACCCAGCCGCTAGTTCGGCGGCTGGGGATCGAAGTTCTGGGTTTGACTTATCGCATCTGGTCTGGACGCGATAAGTCGAACCAGGAAGTGCTCGCCATCGACTGCGGTACTCCAGCTCGGCGAGAGGAGTACCGCGGAGTCGACGGGGAGCCTGCCTGCCGCGTGTGGACCGCGTCTGAACCGCGGTAAGTTCGAACTAAGGTATGTCGACTTCAGCTACGTTATTCACGTAGCTGAAGTTGCGTACCTTACTTCGACTTGGGGGGTTAGTGTAGACCAGGCCTAAGATTATAATAGAGATTTGTACCCCAGTTAATGCATTTTTTAAAAACGGAACATTTAGCTAGTTTTAGACAAGACACTAATCTGCAGTGATTCTGTGGCAAAATCCCTGGATTCTTCAACACTCCAGCACAGTGAATTGGAATTTCTGCAGCAATTTCATTTTTTATTTAATGAAAATACATCTGTTATTTGACACTGATTTTATGCTGCCTCCACCCTGTTTTCAATGTGTTGTACATTTTTGTTCTGAGTGCTTACAGCACTTCAGAAGATGGAAGTTTGGCAACTGGAGAAGTGACAGGTGACTTTTGGCACAGCCATGGAGAGTTCAGTTTGGGATACATAAATTCTGCTAAAGTTTACTAAATCCATTAACGTTGCTTTACTTTCATTTGGATTTCAGCATTAGCAGCCCAGCAAAATGAGAGAGATTCACACCTCAAAGCTATTGTTTCAAATTGTCTACTGACTTAATATATCTGTTTATACATGGTCTGGTCTTGACAACCGTGAAGGTTAGAAACAATCTGTTAAAAAGAAAATGTAGTTTCTCCAGCAAAGGCTGGGTGAAGGATTTATTTCACAATTTCTGAAGCTGCAGAAACAGAACACGAGATCCTAGTTTTAGTTTGTCACCCTTCAGCTTAAACAATGTGATTCAACAAGTTAATTACAATGAGAAGTCAAAGCACAGTGCAAGTCACTCACTAAATCTTACCCAGCAATTTGCCCATTTCCTTTTGTGACAAGGATTTTCAGTCCATGTTGAGTGTTAACTAAGCTAGTGCCTACAGGACAGAAAATATATTGCTCAGTGTCCATGCAGAAAGAGTTAAATAGTTACACACAATTAAAATCTGTCTTGCAGTTTTATCCCACAGAGCTAACAAATAGTTCAATGGGTAAAGCGAAACCACAAGTTTGCTCTATGAGGTATTTCCAACGACATGAACCTACAGGAGAGGCTCCATCGGGATAGACCTCAACAGTTATGTGGTACTGTAATACGAAATACAAGGGTGAGATCTTACAGCTTCTGTAATTACCAATATAGGAGGACTTTGTCAGCATCAACTAGCCTAAACAATAACTTCAATGGGAACACCTACTGAAGAGGTAAAGGCCTGCTTTTTCCATGATTTATAATGGATTTCTGATCTTGTCCGATGAAGACTTTATATCAAATGGCAGGACAAGGACTACGAGAATCAACAGGGTCAATCTGGTGTTCAGCTTTCCTCAATCCATTTCACTGCCAGAGTTGATATAACTGTGGCTGTATAAATCAGAAGCTTTGTAGAAAACCAGATATCACAGCATCCCCACAGGCTGCTGAAGGGCCCAAAAACTGCAGCAGCACTAGCTTCTGCTATATTCAGGTCCAGAGCTTTTGAGGATCCTTCAGTACAGTATGATGCTGCCCAAATATTTAACAGCTGCCATCTGCTCTATGTCCCATCCAGACAGGTTAATACTGAACTGGTTATAATCTAGAACTGGAGACTGCTTGATGGTAATGGCCAGTGATTTAGTTTTAGCCAGATTATTAATCTGGACAGGGAAACTGACTATACACAAACTACTATCAATTGCACAAAGTGACTGAAAAAGGCAAAAAAAATTTCCCTCCTATTTCTTCAGTTAGCCATCTCAGGTTTTATTTGTAACAATAGCAATTAAGTTTTCAGGGGGAAGTGTAGTTCTGATGTTAATATTTAGCTGGATATTTTTGTATACGTCTGTTGGAGATGCCAGTGAAGTTAAAAAATCCTTCACTTATGTGCAGAGATAACTGATAAAACTAAGTGTTCATTCTATATTTACAATTAAATTATTTACCAAGAGTGAAATGCTTCTCAAATTGAATACATTTGATAGAAGATAAGTTCTTAAAACCAAAAGCCACCAGACACTGAATTTTTAATAAAAAGGGCAAGGGGTAGAATTTCCTACCTTGTGAACAGGCATCTCCTAATTTCTGGTTGACAAAGCTTCTTTGTAATCACTTCACTTGCCTTGCTTTTTAAACATGTGCTCCACCTGAAAGAGGTCAGTTTACAGCAACACAAACACCAACACATAATCAGCACCAATTTTTAACAATGGGGTTGTACCACCATACAATTCCTGAAGCACCTGTGTTCTCCCTGAAAAAAATCACCCATGCAACTACTAGCCACAACCCTACTTTTGCAGAGCTAAACACTAGAACCTATAAGTTTTAAAAAACAAAAACAAAAAACACTTGCTATATACACAGAGCAGTGGCAATAGACAAACATGGTAGTCCTGATTCTAAGATTTTCCCTTTAGTCTGACACTAAGGTAAGCTTAAACCATTAAATGGCAAGAGTGTACCTGAACTAGAGCACGACAGACAAAAGCCACATAACCCAAGTGTTCAGAAAGGCTGTCATCATTCACTTTCTTCAGAGCAGTTGAACATTTTGCCAATCATCATAACATTTCCTCACAACATCCTCTATATTCTGGAGCAGAATAAATGTTTACCATTTATGAAACATCTCCACCTATTTCTTCCAGTATAAAAACAGATGCCAGTTAAATGAAAATAAAGCTCTAATTCTTCCTGTACCAAAAAAATCTGATGGCAAGTTTAATAGGACTGAGTTTTATATGGCTCTTCAAAACAGCAAACTAGAGGAATACAGGTCTGTACATAATCCTCACTATGAAGCCTTTTGCTTTCCAACAAACAGCGCAGATTCTACTCTGATGCTGCACACCCTGGTATAATCCAATCCTATAGCATGCAAATCAATTTTGAGTTAATGAGGCATGCAACGCCCTTTAACCAGGAAGTTTATAGCCCTTTTAGGATACCACGACAAAGTCCTGTGGCACCTTATAGGCTAACAGACGTATTGGAGCATAAGCTTTTGTGGGTGAATACCCACTTCGTCAGGTGCCACAGGACTGTCGCTTTTTACAGATCCAGACTAACACGGCTACCCCTCGGATACTTAGGATACCACAAAATTCATTCAAGGAGTCACACCAGAATTTCTTACCAAGACACTAGAAGAAAATACGATTGGTGACCAAGTGTTCCACAGTTATTTGGACTGCCTGAAAACAAAGGGAGAGGATTCAGTTTGTTATACTCAATGCCAGTTAAGTGGCCTCTACAGTTTAAATTTACCTTTTCCCTAGAATTGTTATAGAAATAGTTTTATTACTCAATTTGTATTAGGCAGGATGTGGTTCACAATTTTCCATTTTCATTACTTCCAAACTACAGTTCAAATGCTGACAAGTATTTAAAGAGACAACATGGGTGAAGTAATCTTTTATTGGCCCAACTTCTGTTGGAAAAGACAAGCTTTTCAGCTTACATGGAGCTCTTGTTCAGGTCTTGTGTAAACTCAAAAGCTTGTCTTTCACCAACAGCCAAGCTGGTCCCATAAAAGATATTACCTCACCCACCCTGTCCTCCTAGTATCCTGGAACAAAACTGGCTACAGTAACCCTGCGAAATACATTGTTATCAAGTCTTTTGAAGGTATGGGGGACCCCCGCCATGCCGTTCACTTTAGAACCAAACCTTGCTAACAAACCTCTTTAAATCCTCCAACAGGACTCCACAAATACAGATAAATGGCCCTAAGTATGAAAAAGCCCAATTTCCAAGAAAGTGATATGAAGAGACAAGTGGTCTTGTAATCCCCATCTTCAATTTCTTTGACAAAATACATGCTGCACCATATGTATCTAGATATTAACCTGCACTAGGATGTAAACAACATTTAAAAACCAATAACCATGTAACAGATTAAAATTCTATTGGTTACCCAGTTAAATGTGGGGGGGGATGGCAGCTGGGATCCTGGGTGAAGTTTAATAGTTATTGGTTAACTGGGTTTTACATCCCTAACCTGCACCTAACTGGATTTCTTATAGAAAGTATATGGTTAAACCACATCTAAATCACAGATCTTGTTTTGCTGCCCAGGGCAGGGGTTCTCAACCTTTTTCTTTCTGAGGCCCCCTCAACATGCTATAAAACCTCCAGGACGCACCACGACTCCACTCCCAGTTTCAACCAAATAGGGGTTGAAGGGCTCGTGCTTCAGCCACGGGGCCCTGCAGCCCGCTGAAACTGGGGGTCATGGCCCCCTGGTTGAGAACCGCTGGCCTAGCAGACAAAAACCCAAGTGTCAGAATAAACTGAAGCAGGAGATCATCATAAAATATCACAATAGAGTGAACCACTTTTCAGAACCTATGTTTGAATTTACCCTTCTATCTGGACAAAAAGTTCAAAATCATTTTAGGACAAGTTTGTTACAGGTCTCATTGTCACCACTGTAATTCATTTTACAGTGATGGAAGCACAACCTGTTACTTCTGTAGCCACGTTGCTCAATTCAGACACAGTTAATTGTGCCTATTCTTGGTGTGTAACGAGGCAGTTTCACCCAACTATCAAATTCTTCATCTTTTTAAAGAAGATAGTCAGCTATATTACAAAAAAAAAAAAACACACCCAAACTATTCACCTAAATTAGTAGTCTGTACACTACTGGCTTTCTTCCCCTATTAGATTTAGCTTTAAAAGGCTCTGTCTGCACAAGATGTGTAACCTTGGCACCTCTGCAGAAAGTTCACCACCTTTGAATTTGTTTGAGCTGGTCATACTGTACACTAGGAGGGAGCTAGTTCAAATGTGTCTACACAGATGCTAAAGGAAGGTTTTCAATAAAAACTTTAAAAACCAACATCTTTTTTACCCAAGTAGACAGGGCCAAATTACTGCAGGCCAGAAGTAAAAAGATTAAGATGAACTGCAAGTACCTTGACAAAAATTGAAGTAACGTAATGTGTTGAATGATCCAGATAGAGGAAAAGGGACATTTTAAAACCTTCAAAATTAGTTGTCAACCTCAGAGCCTGCAGCTTGCTCAAATTGGCTTGGGTCTGCGAGAAGTCATTCTAGGGCACTGGATACCAGGATCTTCAGTGGAACCAGCACCCAAGTTTGCAGAAATGCATAGCATACGGAAAGATGTAGGAAAAGGTCATTAGATGACACCTACCTAAGTGAAACTTGTGGGAGGGCTTCCAGCTCTTCATATAGTGGCTTTATAGTAAAAAAAAAAAAAAAAAAAAAAAATAGTGTCCCTTTTCAAAATAAGGGTTTACTTCTGCTTTAAACAAAAAAATGCAGCTTTAAGTCCAGTTTAAGGCTTGAGCATGACCTTCAACTGACCTATCCCTACCTTGACACTAGCTATTTTTTCTCTTAGTTTCCTTCACGATTACAAATATGTACATACCTTCTGTACATACCATCTCAGTATGAAGATGATCTTCTTGACAGTGACTGCAGTCAGGTCGTGTGTCTCTACAGTCAGAATGCCATAGGAAATGCTTTAAAAAAAGCAAAGATATTCTGATGCAAAATTCATAGAAAAATGTAAGTGATTTATAAAATACTGTATTGGCACTTCCACAATATTTCAATGGCAACATTATTTCACCAACTTCTGAATAAAACAGCCTACAATTTAATTAAACCTACATGTTCCAACAGATATACCAGGTTTAACAAGCATAACAGCATGAAAACCAACGATGCCAGATGCTGGATTACTGTGGCACTGTTTTTTGAACACCCCATCAGGAGAATACTGCTGGATGCAGATACCAAAACAGTGCAACAGTTCACTTGGTAACTACTTTCTCCAAAAAGCCATGCATTCAAAATTTTAATTTCCCTAAAGAAAATTAGTGTACTCGAATGCGGTAATTTAATATGAATGCATCACAGCTTACCCTTTTCACCAACCAGCTACGTATTTCCATCTTGATTTCAATGTATTTTGGAAGTTCCAGAAACTAAAATGGAAAAAAAACAAAAACAAAGAACTTTTCTAGAAGTTACCATTGTTCTGTTCAGCACAGCTTACAGTAGTCAAGCAAGAATTTGTTTATTTTTGAAATCAACACAATATTCAGTATTGACTCACCTAATGTAGTTTATATATTTTGCCATTATTTCTCATACTGGTAGGTTAACAAATGCTAGCCACTTGTTTAAAACTGCATTTGAGGGGCGCCTAGAAATAGATTGGCTGGCCAACCTACTCAGAACTGATGTTTTATTCAATTCCCCTTGAAATGGTAGATACTATGCCTTTTCTAGCAGGAAAAAAGTTCCCATGGTCCAGCTGTTAAAGGAAACAGACTGACATAAGAGACAGGCCAACAGGCAAGACTATGGAATTATCAATCCAACAAGTTGGCTGGCTGTAGACATTTATGGTATTTGAGCAACTACATGTCTCATCAGAATTTACAGTAGGATGGCCTAAAACAAAGTCAGTGTAACTGGGACTAAGTGCAAACACTGAATATTTATATTATCCATTTTAGAGACTGAACTTTATGCAAGAAGAGATTGGAGTTCTCCAGTGTTCATAGAAATTCTGTTCTACTGGAAGCACATGCAAAGATTGTCCCTTCTGAAAAGTAACACAGCTCATATATTGATGAGTTGTGGGTTGCAAGAGAAGGGTTTATTCTTAGCACTTACTCCAAGATTTTGTCCACAGCAAAAAACAAAACCTGGAGATGTGCTGGGAAAACAAACTTTTTAAACACCGTCCATGGGACTTCTCACTTTAATTGAAAGTAGACTATTTATGCACTGTTCAAATGCAGCTGGTTCTAATAAGTAGTTGGTTATATATTTGGCAGTATTTACTTCAGCTACAAATCTGCATTTCCAATGTAATAGCAAGAGACTACATTAGCACAGAGTTAGGGTTGCTTGGTGGTAAGTCATCCCCATGCAGAACAGTGAGTTGAGCAAAAAGCTCAAAACCAAGAAATGCAGCTATAGTTGCCCATGCAATAATTCAACAACTGGGGGGTTGTCAGAATAGGTGTTTTAATGAGGCATATTGGGGCATTGCTGAAAGAGGGCAGTGTTAAGGATGCATGAACACACCTTAACTGCATTTCCTGGTTTTCAGAAGTTTGAGTGTTAATCAGCTCAACATTCTGCAGGGGACAACATACCACCACCCTGTGTTAACAGTTTTGGTATTGAATTTCTTACATTATTTTTTTAGACAGGAAAATGGGATTTGGGAGTAGTTGTGGAACATGACATGCACGGTTAGGGGATGCAGAGGGTTGGGGTGCCATGCCTCCCCCACCTGAGCCGCCCCCCCCTCCATTTATCCCCCTCACCTCACTGCTGCCCCAAACCCCTCTTCCTCCCCCCTGCCTTTATAACCCTCCCAGGAAGCATTCACTTTTCTAGCCCCCTTCACCCACAAATATTTTGATTATAAAAACAAAACTGCCACCTCTGACTTACAAATTGTGGCAAACTTAAGACAAAAGAAGTTTTGAAGTGAGTGGCTGAAGTGGGGACTTGTGATGAACTTATCCTATTTACTGAAGGTAAGCTCAGCAATCAAAAGTAAGTATCAGGGGGCAGCCGTGTTAGTCTGTATACACAAAAACAACAAGGAGTCCGGTGGCACCTTAAAGACTAAAGGATTTAGTTGGGCATAAGCTTTATGCCCAAAGCAATCAAAAGGTTTATGGATTCTTCCAGTCTGCCCCTCTCAGTTTAACAGTACACAAACTGAAGGAATTCATATTCTTAAATACGGTTCTCAATTTGGGTTCCCCAAGATTTAGTGGGTGCAATATATTATCTTGGGTAAAACTCAGATTGAGAATATTTTGACCCACATCCCATCTATAGTTTACTCTATCTATAGGCAAAAGCCCTCCTACATATTTCTCTAAGGGGCTATTTTTTCCTTAGGGTTTCTCTCCAGAACCCCTGGCTCAAATCCCTGCAAATTCAGGACACTAACCCTACTCTGCATCCTCCTGAAGCACACCAGCTTTAAGAGAAATCCAACTAAGCATGTCAAATTTAGGTCATTAGAACAAATGTCATGACTAACTTTAGTGGCACTGCCCCACTACTCTATCTGCTTCCCATTTCCATAACATGGCATTATGTTACTCCTGAGGGAATTCTGCACCACTGTGCATGCAGAATTTGCACAAAAAATAATGTTTTGCACAGAATTTCTTTTTTCTCCACAGAAATGGGCTGCAAAGCTGCTGGCCACCACGAGGGGCTGTTGGACCCAGAGTACAGCTTGCAAGTGGAAGACACTGCTGGAGGGAAAGGGGGGAGCTGCAGTTCTCAACATGCCCTGAAAGAAGGAGACGGCATACAGGAATCTCCACAAATGTCTGGGAACTAGCATCAGTCTGTTTCTCACTCTAGGATGCCAGGGTGTGGGTATCTGGCCTCAATACTGTGCTGGGGCGGCGGGGGGCACGCGGGGAGAGAAGAGGAGGAGGGAGGGAGTGGCAGAGAAACGGGAACTGGGTTGTCATAGGTGTTTCCTTAATACTCTACTCCTGGGGGAATGTGTGTCTACTGTTACAGACAGTTGTGGATAGATATTTTGAAATAAATTACCAAAATAATTGAAACTGGCATGATTACATAGTGTTATTTTGACAAAAAATATGCAGAATTTTACAATATTATGCACAGAGTTTTTAATTTCGGGGGCAGAATTTCTCCAGGAATATTATATGGACCAAATAAGCCTTCACAAGCACTTGAATACGGATATTACAGTCAGTAAGACACCTGCACAGGGGCAGAATTATATCCTACATGTAATTAGAAGTCAACACTGAATGTACGGCATAAGCTAATATTAGTCTGAGGGAACAGAACAGGAGGACAAGAAAGATTTTAGAAGATAGTAAGTTTACAAGAAATCTTAAGCTGAGAAAGCAAGGTATCAGGTTGAACAAGCACAGCAGCATGAGAACTAACTCCAGATGCCAAGTTATTGTAGTATTGCTTTCTGAGTGTAAGAGTAGCTGCATGTAACTAACTGTCTGACCACTACTGTAATCAAGAGTTCTGAGTTCTAGTCCCATCTCAGACAGACTAATTTTAGCCAAGTCATTTCATCTGTTTCCATTACTCAAACTCCTTCTACCAAATCAAGTATCAAGCGAGCAAGATTAGAATACATGCGATTTGTATCTTTTCAAAGAGCCATTCAGACAGTTTATTTCAATTTATTGAAAGAAAATCATGAAAAGGAATACAAAGAAAAAAGCAACTTACCTCTTGCAGTAGCAATAAACTAAAATTGTTCCTTTTTCTCTCTCTCCAAAAAAGGTCAATTGAACTAAAATGCAGAGATGGAAAAGAGCCAGATGAAGTCTCAGGTTTTCAACATTAAAGATTAATATTTCTCTAACCAATACTACATTTGTTATAAGCGGTTTTTCATGGGATATTTAATCAGTTCTGTTCAGAATTAGAATTTAGTTCATCTGTGAATCACCCAGCAGTTGAACAGAGAAATTCATCATGCGAACGGCAATGTGAAGTCAGGTGGATCA